TCTTTTACTCTAATAATTCCGCAGCATCATGCCATATAAAACAGTTTACTTTGTTTCATATGTGGAACATGACTTTCTTGTACAAGTTTTTGTGTTCTTCCTGAAGTTTCTTGTTGCCTTTTTTCCACATTCCACATGAAATATAGAAACCTTCCTCATTTCATTAAGGTAGTCCAGCTTCTCCTCTTATGTCCCCCACCCCCAGTTCAGCTCCTGTTTATCTGCTATCTCTTACTTGATTTCTCAATGGAAAGGTATTTGACATCCTAGATTAATCTTTGTGATCTCTTACTTTTTTTTCTCATAGTTACTTTGTTTGCTCTACTTTTAAGTCCAGACTTTTATTGAATGGAGGGAAGGAGAGGCAATCATATTTTTAATTTCCTCTTGTTCTCTTTTTGCATAAAATCGTGTACTTGCTTTATAGATACCATTCCTTCATCAATCTCGGAGGACTTGAACTAGAATTTAAAAAAAAATTTCTTTTCTAAATTATCTGTTTTTGTTGGTCCATCACTTTCTTTTTTCATCTTAGTCCTATCTGATGCTGTTGATTTTCCCCAGATATCTGGCTATCTGCACATACTCATGACAGAAAGACTAGGCTGATGAATCCAAGTAGCTCCTGTGGATTTCCTCTGTTGTTAAGTGGGGTTTTTCTTGAAAGATACCACACTGACTGGAAGGATTTCTGTGTTAGCGGGTAAGTCACGTCATTGGGTAGGCTTCTTTAAGGGCAGAGAGCACAAAGGTAAATCAGGGTTCCACTCCCATTATCAGAACAGGAAGGCATGTTCTGGGGAGTGAGGGGGGTGGTTACCTGGGGGGGCATACCTTCCCTAAGAGCATTATCTCCATCCTAATTGTTAACTTTCTTCAGCCATTCACTTGCAACTGTCACCATGTCAGTTTCACTGCAAATATGCTCTGCATTGGGGAGCAGCTGTTTTGTATAGATCCTTCTGCCCACTTCCCTCACTGGTTTTCCATATCTGCCAATCTAAGCTACTCCGGAAACGACAGTGTGCACCTGTGTTACAGCCCTTCGTACTGGGGCTTATGTATCAGTACTCACTCATCTGTTCATACTTTTTTATGCCAGAAATTTGTCTTTGATCTGGTGATGATTCCACCATAGGAATCCTCATTTGCCATAAACAAATAGGCCCCTTAGGCTATTTAGGATTTTCTGGCACTTCTCATTAGAAAAAGCTCATGCAAGTGTTGTGGGGTATGGAGGAGAGAAAGCCTTTGGACACAGACAGAAATCATTTTAGATTCTGTTCTGCTACTTACTGGCTGTGTTAGAACATGACATTTATTCTAAGACTGTTTCCTCATCTCTAAAGCACAGATGATATCTTTTTTACTGAGTTATGGTGAGGATTAAATGAATAAAGTGTTAACAAATAATAAATATTCAAATGTTAATTCCTTTCCACTGGAGTGTCTTTACTTAAATACCTTGGATTTAATAGGTAAGAATACATATATCTATTTGGTTAATATATAGTAATAAAATATATGCATCTATTTGGTTAATACATAGTACTAAATAAAATCTATCATTGGACAAACATTCTTTTAATTATCTTCACATTAAGCTCAAATATTACTTTAGATATAACTTAATATGTGACCATGTCCTGCTTATCTGAGATCATTTATTTTAAGGTCTTCAAAACATAGTTCTTCAAAACACGGATTTCTTTTGAAGTGTTTTAGTTACCATAAAATATATCTATTCTCTTACATCTTTAATCTATTTAACTAGATTAACTTTTGTATTATCATTATTACAATTGTATGCATTAGTTTAGAACAACCGCCAAGCTGATTTTGAACATACTTCAGAAACTTTGCAGTGCAGTTTTCTCCCAGTAAAATGCAATAAGGAAAATGTTCAAATAGAAAAATATATACTCACCTACATAGAGGCCAGGGTAAAGAGCACACACACAAAAAATGCACTTACTTGTATTGTACTTTGATCTCCCATCTGTCCGTTCTTTAGATAAAATACTTGCCCCTTTTGGACTTGAAAACAAGTCTCCTTATAAGGAAAAAAGTCATGTATAGCCGGTTCAGATTTGTGCTAATTGTGTATGTGTTGTAACAAGGTTCTTCTAACTTTTCAACTCTATTCTTGAATTGCTGTTTTATAAAACAAAAATTTTCTGGTAGTAAATATTTTTCTGGAAGGTGGAGCAAGAGGAAGACGACATTATGAAAAGAAGGAGCAATGCTTAACTGAAATTATACAGTTTGAAGGAGAAAAGCAAAACTCAGTGGTCTTTTGTCTCAGTTGAAAGGAATGGTGGATTAAATTTATTTTTAATCACAATAAATATTAATACTAGGCAAGTTGTATACCTATTTTCCTCTGTTCCATTAAAGTTGTAAATTTCTATTATCAACAGTCTTAATGCAAACATGACTTCTATTTTAACCTTCCTTAGAATGTGGGGGGAAAATACAGAACAGTCAGCAGACAGAGATATAATCTTGTTGAGGAAACCAAATGATTATATAAAAAGATTTGTTTTTAAAACTTCATTAAAAACAAATTGTAAGAACAAACCCTAAACTGTTCACAGTGGTGGGTACTTCTGAGGATTCAGCAAGTGGGATGGGAGAAGCGAACTTTCATTCTTTAAAATTTGGTGCTTTTGTCTTTTTCAAAACAGGAGTACACCATCTTCATCATTCCAGCAACTTGAAAAGCATTTTTTAAACGTCATTATCCTATAGCCCAATAATGCAAACACATGGAATAAAGGAACTATGTGGTAGAATTCACACATCAGTATGGCAAATAATAAATACACAGATTATCTGACCTAAAGGAATCTCCAATAAAGGATTCCTGATAGCTTAATATTCTTTACCACAAATGTCTGCCCAGTTCTTTCTTATTCTCCTACTTGGCAATCCTTGTACATGTATTCTGCTCTCTTCCTACACTTAGTAGCTTTAATTAAATTCTATTTCCTTGCTCACAAACAATCTCCCAAGAGAAAATCTTTTAAAATGGCATGTTATTTTGTTTGGCTAGCAAAGTGCTTTTGGCACTTTCAAATTAGTTTTTAGTATTTAAGAATTTGGAGATTCCAGGCCAGGGGCGGTAGCTCACACCAGCAAATCCTAGCACTTGGGGAAGCCAAGGCAGTCAGATCACCTGATATCAGGAGTTCAAGAACAACCAGGCCAACATGGTGAAACCCCATCTCTACTAAAAATACAAAAATTAGCCTCCAGCTACTCAGGAGGCTGAGGCACAAGAATTTCTTGAACCCAGGAGGCGGAGGTTGCAGTGAACCCAGATGGTGCCACTGAACTCCATCCTGGTTGACAGAGTGAGAGACTCCATCTCAAAAAACAAAAAACAAACAAAAAAAAATTTGGAGATTCCAGAATCCCCAGCTCCTCTTTGAAGATCAAAAGATCTGACAACGCAGGACCTACATTTCAGCATGGCAATGGGGAGTGCTTATAGCTGACCCCTGAGCCTGGATACACCCTATTACCACCCCAATAGGACTGCCAGGGCCATGTGCATGGCTCTTGCACTGTCTTTTGTCTTACAGGAAACAGGAAAGTAACTTCTTATTTACGTTCTTATTTTCTTAAAGGGTAGGGAAAAATGAAAAAAAAAAATCAAGCAGGCAAGATGTTTCCAAAAAAGGGGAATATTTCTTTGTAGAAATGAAGATGATTTACCTGTGTTTCCTATGCAAACAAAGAGTATCTATGCTGAAAGACTCAACTTAATAACCATAAGAAGGCTGCATGCAATAGAGAAAAGCAGGAAAATAACATAATGAATTTGTTTTTAAGTGGGAACAAAATTAAGTAATTTTGTAAAATGCAATTACATGTTAAATAAATATTTTCCTATTTCTAAATCTACTTCATTTTTGTGAACTAATTGGCTCTGCAGTTGAGTTTGACCCCATATTTAGAAGTATCCCCATGACACAGCCACACAGCACCTACCCCTGCCCTGCTTCCATAGTCTGAGGAAGTAAACAACAAAGGCTGTCCAGACCAGCAGTGTTTCTTTTCCACATCCTTCCTCTTCCTGCTCTAAGCCATAGTCTACAAAGGTAAGGGCAGCAGCTGTAAAAGTTCCTGTTAACACTTCAGCTCCCTGCTCCTTCTTCCTACACAGGGCCTCTCTCTCTAGGTGCACACACTGACAAAATGCCCATATTAGGAGTTGAAGCCTCCCCTTGCTAATATGGTTCTATTCATTTTTCAAGGTCATAGGCCTTCAGTTACAGCTGCAAACACTCAGGACAGATCTCTAAGCCCAGGCTTGACCCCTGTGGGAGGGAGCAGACAGCTAGTTCAAGACAGCAGCCAAACCTAACAGGCATCTAGTTTGCACAGACATCATGAGCAGATCAGAAGCTGCAGGGTGATGCCAAATGCTCTCAAGGTCCCAATTCTAGGAGAAAGGAAAGGAGACTCTGATCGACTATGTCTGAGTCCAATCTGCATCCCTAGGACTGATCACAGTTTAGATCAATTCCCAGTAAAAGTTTCCTTTATGTAGAATGTAGTTCTATTTTCTCTAGAGCCAGCAGGCATCTATCCTCTGCTCCCCTCATTACTAAGGTCAACCTCTAGTAAAAAGGCTACCGTGTCTTGTAGGTCACAAAATGATTCCACATGGCTTCTCTTATTTGATTCAATCAGGAAACTTGAAAGGTAGGTAGGATTGGTTTATACCATCATCTCCAATGAACAGAAGGGAACACGGAAGTGAGAACTTAAAAGAGCTTAGTGTAACATATTCAAGGTCAAAGAAAGAGTGCTAGGCCTCATGTTTACTACAATTTTATCCAGGCCACCATGAACCAGAAATGTGAACAGGGAGATAAGACTAAAAACCGTGACACTGTAGCCCTTTACAGAGAAAAACATGTTATCCAAAACAGATGTTCTGTAACAAAAACTTTGTTAAATAATTGGGGAACAGAATTCAGGAAAAAGAATTTAAGATTTTAAAAATATTTTTATATAGAAATTTTTTTACAAAGATTTTACAACATAGCAAATCATTATGTCATACTGTAGAAAGATGAAGCAAAGGATTAAACTCCAAGGATAAAGAAAGTGCTCATAGCAACATTTTGCAGTCTCCATGAAAGTGCATATAAACGGTTAAGGCAAAGTACCATCTTGGTACAGACATGTTGCAAACTGACTTTTAAAACAATTTTTAAAAATATATACAAACTTTCTTCTATTCTTCTCAAAGACATTTGAAAGGGATACTTTTATGAATATTCTTGCTGTAGAACAATGTAGAAATAACTTCTGGGTATAAAACAGTAAAAATAAAAATATTCTACCTGAGTGTGTTAAAAAATAAATCAAATGATTTATAAAACAAAATCTTTACAAGTGTGGGCTTTCTACATGTAACTTGTCAGACTGAAGGCCTACACCCCCATGTTCTAGACAGAGATCACTAATGATGGTAACATGCGTTAAAGTAGGATTCTTGCCCTTCTGTGTAGCTTCTGGCTTCTAGGTTCTATGACCAAACTATTGACATATTTGAAGTCTGTATGCAGTCATCATGTGATAAATCTACTTTACAGCTTTGCTTCTACCTGCAGCTTACATGATAACCATGCTCTGAAGTGCTACATATGCTTAATACAATATGTTGCCCCTTCTGATAATAAAAATACAAAGGTGCTCTTTAAGTTAAACCATAAACCTTATTAGAGAATTCTAGTTAAGTATTTTCTTTTTCCACATACATGTAAATACCTTAAGATCAATAGGATAATACTGGTTATCAAAATTTAGTCTTCATACTTAAAGAATTTGTTTTTAAAATATAACTAAGATGCAAAAAAATAAATTGGCCAGTCTTGAACAAGAGTGAGTTTTACAGAAAACTGACATATCTGAATTCTGGTACAGATAAGAATCTGCCAAAGGATAACTGAACTCACGTGACTAAACCACCCTTTTATGTACGATTGCATCTACTCATGAGAAATAGGGGAATTCAGTGTTATCATTATAGTCTCTGTATTTCAACTGAGTTTTTCTTTTCCAATTTTTTTTCCATGCCTAAACATAGGGAAATTAACCAGCTCATTTCTGCTGACTTAGGTTTCCTAAATCGCTTTTAGTCCTTAAGGCACAGCTGTGGTAAAAGAGAGAAATACCCAGTCATTTATTGGAATTCTGCAGTACAAAATAAGCACATGTGCTCTATACAATTTAGTAACAGGATAGCAACAGTTAACTGTCTCAAACAACAGATGTATTCGCTTGATTTTCTTTCCTAACTTCTTTTGCATCAGGACCGCAAGCAAAGAGCTTGTTTCCCAGAGTATTTTGGGCAAATCGGAAATACATAATGTGGCCCATTGCCACAAAGGAGACTGAAATCAATACGAGCAAGCCAAAAGCTTCAGGATTTGGAGCCAGGATGACCATGATGAAATGCAAAAGATCAAGAAGATAGTTCATGGAGTTCTGTACACCATTTATAATGCCTCTTTCAGATTCCATTACATTTTCTTGCAGCAACTGTGTCACAGTTAAATCAAAGGACCAAAGACCTATAATAAAATATTTTTTAAAAGATTAGATTTTAGTTTATAGGCATACATTTCAAATTACAGATTAAAATCTGTTGACACATGCAAAATACAGATTTTAGCCCAACTGCCTTTAAGTCGCCTTATATATATCATAGCCTTGCCTTAGAGAATTATTATTTTTCATAAAAAATATTTGGTTATTAATGCCTCAATAAATGATTTTTACAGTCATCAGAGAAAAAGAAGTCTAATCTACAAACTTCTTAGTTCTGTTTTTCTGTGACTATTCATACTACATAAACAAAACTTTGAAATCAGAGACATAATAAATCCTATTATAGTATAAGTACGATTATTTTTAAAGTTTCAAATGACCTAATATATGGTTATGGTTGAAGTATAAGGAAACTTTATTTATTTATTTTTGAGATGGAATCTTGCTGTTTCTCCCAGGCTGAAGTGCCGTAGTGCAATCTCGGCTCACTGCAACCCCTGCCTCCTGGGTTCAAGTGATTCTCCTGTTTTACCTTCCCGAGTAGCTGGGCTTACAGCCACCCTCCATCATGCCCAGCTAATTTTTGTATTTTTGTAGAGATGGGGTTTCACCATGTTGACCAGGCTGGTCTTGAACTCCTGACCTCAGGTCCACCCACCTTGGCCTCCCAAGGGATTACAGGCATCAGCCACCACACCCAGCCAAGTGTAAGGAAACTTTAAACCATTGTTACATTACTGCTAGAGTTCTAAAGCCCATACAATAAAGCTGTCTTGCTTGGAAATTAATATCTCCAATAAATTAATGAACTGCTTTGTATCACAAGATAAATACAATTTCATTTTAAGAGTGAATTCAGTCAGAGATAATTCAGCAGTACTCTATTAATGATTACTTAAATTTTGCTTTGCAAGAAGTCTTTACATTATGTTTCCTTCCAGGGCTGTAAAACCCATTTGTGTGGCAAACTGTGTAAGTACATATCGGCTAGAGAAAACCTTTGAAGGATTTTTTTTCCTACTTTCACGTCTTCTATTAAAGCCAGAAACATTACCTTTTTAGTGTTGTCCCACCGGAATAGTCACTAAACTACAGTTTCTTTGTTAGGGTTGTTGCAATATCAAGACTCTACTAGGTGGCAGTATAATTGATATAGCTAATATCTTTTATAAATTAAATTACATTTAAAAAATAATTGCTTGAGCTCAGGAATTCAAGACCACCTTTGGCAACATGGCAAACCCCATCTCTACAAAAATACAAAAATTAGCAGGTCATGGTGGTGCATGGCTGTAGTTCCAGCTACTTGGGGGACCGAGGCAGAAGGATTGCTTGAGCCCAGGAGATCAAGGATGCAATAAGCTGTGATTGCGCCACTGCACTCCAGCCTCGGTAACAGAGCAAAATCCTGTCTCAAAAAAAAAAAAAAAGTAACATTTAAGTTACTCATTTAGAAAAAATTTTCAAGTCTGAACCATGTTTTAAGTATACGTACATGATAAGGTAACAAGTACAGGTTTTCAAACTATAAAATGTACAACAAAAAATAAAGTACAAATACAGAAAATAATTTCACAATTAATAGTGTATTTTGCTTAAATTAATATTTGGGGAACATTTCACGTGATTATTAATGGATTCTCTGAACCCACATTACAGAAAGACACTTTAGTTCATACTTAGTTCATTAAAATACAAAAGATTTCTTACCGATTCTAGCAGCAATGACGCCTGCAAACAGCAGACTGACGGAGATTATGGGCACAGATTCAGGATTTGTCTCCGGGACAATAGTAGCAGAATTAGACCCGTTAGTCATGTGTATTTCAGTTGTAGTAATGGTTTCAGGTATCTTGGTAGGTGTGATTGACTCTGCTTGAATGAACCTCGATCGGATATCTTCAAAAGGAGAAATGGACAAGTCCAGGGGGCTTCCAGGCATGAACACAGAGATCACACACAAGATCAAACAGGAAAGCTGTGCCAATCCTGAGATCAGACCTGTCCGAACCAAACCACATTTTCGACGTAGCCAAGTGAAAGCCACAGTTCCCATTATTCCAGTTATAGCTGATGCTCCCATCAAAATACTGAGGATTGAACCACTCAGTCCCTGAGTATAGGCGTACCCTGTGGTGATGCAGTCGAAGCCCAGGACAGTCATATAAAGGAAAGCAAGACCCATGCCAGCCAGAAACACGGGCTGATTGTAGTAGGAGACCCATCCATCTCGGAAGGTACGGAAGGGCTCAGCCATCTGGGAGGCACAAGTAGGCTCTAGCTCACGTTCAAGCTCATGGATGTTAGAGCCTTTCACATCCATTAGATGAGTTCCCTCCATGGGTTTTGGCTCAGTATCTGTTAATAAAAGGTATCATTATTTTGTTGGGAAGGAGATGTGGAGATAAAAGCCAATTATTAATAGTACTTTTTCCTTCTCCTATTCCCCTCCCTCAAGGGTACCCTTGGTTATATATTATAAAATGTATTTTCTTTTACTAATAATTTAAGAATTACAGCCAAGGAATAATCATCCAGTACATTTTTGTTAAATAAACAAAATACTATTGATCTGTCCCTCTTTTCTTTTCTCTCTCTCTTGCTCTTAGGAATTATACTCACACCAAAGTAAACAGCAGGAAAACTCACCAGATAAAATATAAAAATTGTCTTAGAAAACACAGCATGTTATTTTCTAGGTCCCTGCAGAGCTGGGTAGAAGATTCCATTTAGCCAGAAGCCCAGTTTCCTCTTCTCTGTGAAGTACCCAGCTTGTGTCCTCACTCTCTTCTACTGTCCTGCAAATGACCACATAACTCCCTCCTCACAGACTTCAAGGGATTCTCTCGATATCTTTTTTTTTCCCCACTTTTTTCCCTGTCCTATAACTTAGCTTTGCCCAGCCACCTCTCAACTAATTGAACCTCTATGACTACTGCTCACATCAAGGAAGAGGGCCAGGGGACCCATTCCAACCCCACCAGATTCAACCCAGAGTTTTCCTCCAGATCCTCAAAAACCTGTTCTTGCCTCATCTACCATAGTGATATATTTAACCTCATCTGGCCCTCACTGGTAATAAAACCTGATACAAATTCAAAATAGTTTTGATCTTCACCAACATTTAAGGTCTGAACATGAGAATAAAAGGAGTAATCGCTGTGTTTAGTTTACCTTTGTGTAAATTCAGCTGTTTCAATTCAGTTTCCTCTTCTTTAAGAGCAGCTTTCACAGCTAGAGCAGGGGTTTTCTGGTAAACCTTCCAGAGCAGAAAGTACTCCACGCACATGGATACCAAGTTCCATCCCGAAATAAAACCACAGCCAATGACTGGGGAGCCAAATGTCATAATCTGGCCAACAGCCATTGGGGCCAAGATGTTGGTTAACTGGTCAATCCTTCGAATTGTGGCATTCATATCTAGAGAGGCAGGTGAAAGAGGCAGGTAAATGTGCAAACCCATCAAAAACAGACTGCCCATTTACACAATACAAAGCTGTAAACCAAGAGTATAAATTCCTAAAATTTTATTTTCTAAAAGCACATTTGTAAGAAAATCATTTTGTTAAAAAAAACATTTGTTGTTTGGGTAAAGTCCCACTATATTTGCCTCAAAAATGACAATTTTCTTGGGATTGCATAAATCAGACTAACAGGTTTTAAAATGAATACAATAGTGACTCTACATTTTTTTTCAACAAATGTATGTTAAATGCCTATTATAAGCTAGGCATCATTCTCAACAATTCTTAACAGTATAAAGAAGACAACTAATATCCTTCCCCGTCTTCATGGAGTTTACATTCTCACAGGAAAAGAAAGACAATAAATCAACAAAAGTGTGTGTGTGTGTGTGTGTGTGTGTGTGTGTGTGTGTATACACATATATACATATATATACACACACATGCTTGTATATATATATATGTGTGTATATGCTTGTATATATTTATATGTACACACACATATACATATATTCCATATGTCAGATGTTTATCAAATACTATGGTAAAAAGTAATACAGAAAAAGGGCAGAGAGTGCTCAGGGGAATGTTCTAAATAAGGCAAGGTATGAGAAGGACTCACTGAAAAACAGAGCATCAGAGCAAAGAGAAGCACTGAGGAGAAACACTACCTTGGTCACATGAAAGATTCTGGGGACCCCAAAAAAAGGAGACCAATAAGAGCAATGCCTGAATAAAACTGATTTAAGAGACTAGTGCCAACCCTAGGGCACACCATTTGTATTTTCAGTGAGTCATATTCTGGAACACAATGTGAAGGCTTCGCATGGCCTTATGGAAAGCAAAGTACTGCCCAAAAAACAGAACTGGAAATAGACAAGTCCTTTGTTTATGTTTTGCCAAAAAGAAGAACAAAGAAATAGAGTAGCAGAGAAGGAAGTGTGGTAAAGATAGGGATTTTTAAGAGGAACAAAATTAGAGCATGATTAAGTGCTGCCTGAAATGATACAGTAGATAGGGGATGTAATCTGAATCTACTGCATAAACGGAGGAGTTGTTCTTAGACAGGAACACAATTCATCAATAGTAACAAGAGTGGAGGCCAGGTACAGGTAAGAAAAGAGATATTATGGTAGAATCACATGGAAGCTCTCCTCTCATTTCCTCCATTTTCTCAGCAAAGTACAAAGCCAGGTCCCACCGATGAAAATAAGGATGGGGAGAAGGACCTGAACGTGTGATGAGAGAGGAGAAACAACTGTGAAATGGTCCTCTAGGAAAGTACAGAAGAAGAGAATCAGAGAAAAAAGTGTGATTATCTGGAAGCATGAAAGGACCAACTCTGTGGCCATGAACCTCAAGTGAGAATACTAAGCAAGGTCATGTGTTTTTTTTTCCGGCCATGCTCTACTGTGGAGAGTTGGATTTAGCCATAGTTCTACCAAACAAAAGTGACAAAAGGAGAGGGGGCCAACTGAGCTGAGGGTATATACCAGGAGATGATCATATAATCATGACTGGCCTTGAAATTTAAGCTGGGTAAGAAAGAGACAAGAGAGAGGTCGTGGACAGTGAAAAGGCAGTGGAATGAATGGTTTGTAGGTGCCAATCACATTGATGGATTGTTGAGGCTTTGGTAGTGAAGAAGTTGCTGGAAAGACAGAAGGTGGTTTTTCAAGATATGGATGCCCAAGACTGAGATTATGGGAGGAGAGAATTTAGTGGTGATAACAAGGTCTAGAGTTTGACTATGGGAATGTATACCTGAGTCAGGGTAGAGGACAAAATAAAAAGGAAGTTAAAAAATGTCCAACACAAAGAAATGATAAATGTTTGAGATGAAGATATATCTCCATCTCATCTCATCACTATACACTATAAGTATCACAACATCACTGTGTACCTCATAATAATATGTGTCAGTAAAAAAAAATTAATAAAAATAACTAAAACCAAAAGTTTTAGAACAAAAAGAAAGTGATCTACTTTCTCATTTGCTGTCACAGAACAGAGTGAAATTTGTGAGACAAGTCTTAAACAATCATTTGGGTTAGTTACCTTAAGGGAAAAGCAATACGTGACAAAGAAGTACATTAACAGAAAATTGCCTTTATTCCTTTGTAATTCTTCCTGGTTCTCAATTGCTTTCCAATTAGTCCTATGAGTATATAATACATATATGATAACAAGGGAACTTTGACATATTTAACCTTTCACTTGAAAGGCAAAGGTAGCCTTCATTGATCTTACACTTAACCGCCTCTGCAGAGACTTCATTACCGTCTGCCTCCCACTAACTAGTAAGTTTCCAACTCATATGCCAACAGAGAAGTGTGGAATTCATCCAAATAACTTGATAATTGGAATCCAAAGAGCAAGTAACTAAAGAAAATATATACTTGAATCTTAAAGTCTCGGAACAACAACGACAACAAATTGTTTCAGTTAAAATTATTTCTTACTCTTTCCCTACTTCAGTTTTCAAGAGCTCATAGAGCTTCCCAATGTCACCAATTTCCATCTTTTCCATTGTACTTAGGATGTCAATAATATGTAGGTGTCAGTAGAAATGGTATATTAGAAAACAGCTTTTATTTTTCTGATGCAGAATGGATTTTTTTTTAAGACAATCATTTTACTGGTAGCAGGCTACCAGTCTTATGAATATGCAAATATATGTTCTTTACCAATTTATAGTTAGTCTTACAGAAGCACACAAATATGTGTTCATTTGATTCCAATTTAACTGTTCTCAGACACAGCTGTGGCACAGAACATAACATTAAATAACTACTTCTATTATAAAAGGTGTATTACATTTCATAGAAAAAAAATTTTAATTTGCTAGCAGGTTTGTCTACTTCATATATGAAACCAATTTTTAATCAATACTGCACAAACACAGAATTTATCTGCCATACTTGATCAAGCTAACTGGCAGACTATTTTTTAGAATGATGGGCAAGAAAAATTTCAGAAGATACTAATAAAGAGTGATCCTCAAAAGAAACTCCAAAAATCAGCCTGCATAAACACAAATCATTCCTGGCTGGAGTAGGTGGGTCTGTGTACAGAGATACAACCTCACAGGAACCCAGGGCAGCAGCTGGAGTCCCTTCTAGATGTACTTTCCCCCTTCTTTCTCCCATTTTTCCTTTATCCTCCTCCTTTTCCTCTGTTCTCCTTTAACTCTGCAATAGCAGAAATGGCAGAAAAAATCCATAATTAGACACTTGCTGACCTTCAGAACTAAAGAAGTTTCTGTTTCTTGTTTTGAAACATGCAGAAAGTTTTCCTTCACTTGTCCACCAGCCCACACTGCTGGCTGGCTGTGAAGGAGCACCACTTAATAAAAGTTAACATAGAGTGGACAAGAGTTCAACAAACATCTCACGTCCTTTCCTACACTTAAAAAACTTCAGAAAGTTAGAAAAAGACTGCCTAGATTCTTCTACTCTGCAATAATTCATAATATAAAGAGAGACAGCTGAAAAATGACCAGTCATATTTTTGTTGTTCTTGGATGTCACTTCATAGCAAAATCCCACAGAGTGATGTGGGAGGTTTGTGTGTATATATATGGATAAGTTAAAGATTCTGGTTAACTTTCTTTTTCATATTTCAGACTTTACACAGTCAAGTTAGTTAAGATCAGTTAAGTAAAATAAAATCATTTTATTTTCATTTTATCTATGGCTGCTGCACAAATTAAAGAAAAATCATTGTAAAAGCCAACATTCTCCTCTAAATATATTCCAACAGATATATATGTGATCTATTGTCAAAATATATCCTTTTGTACCCTTTGAATTTTAAAACATGGATATATTTTACATGTTTTAAATAGTGTGTTAAAAAAGAGAAAGTAAACAAATAAGGACAAAGCCTTATCTAGTTCAATGTGACAAAAAAGACATGAAATTATTCCTCATTATAAATGATCACAGGAAGAAAAGTAAATGAGAATCATGATTTTAGCTCCAGAGAATTTCCTGTGATACAGATTCACACATGTTAAACTCATCTTAAACACACACCATCCTTTAAATCAATCACTGTGGAATTTCTAACTCAATAATAATACTGCTACCACAAAGTGATGATTCAGGCAAATTCTTCTTCTAGACCTTCCACAGACTTTGTTCTCCTTCACTCACCCCTCCTTTCTTTTTTTTTTTTAAAACCAAATAGTCCAAACAAAGCTGCCTGCTAACCCCAGCACATAATCTTGCCTTCTGTATCCTGGGATAAGCCATTTAAGTCATCAAGAATGGTTTACTTGTCTGTCAGGACAGTTAGGCAATGCATTTGTTATACCCATTATCACAGTAATCAGCAGAGATGCATCAGCTGATCTGACAGGTAGGTAGGTGTACCCTTCCTTCTTTACCCTGCGTAATTATCAGTCCAAATTGTATCTGTGTGTCTTATGAGGGGAAGGCAGGGAATAATGAACGAGGGAGGTTATTCTGAGCGTAAGTAATATTGACGGAATAGGACACGTTGCTTTGTAAGCATTCTTCAGATTTTCTTTGACCACTTGTTTATATTTCCAATGAGCAACTGAGATGGTAAGCTTCTTAAAAACTGCATTCTATCTTCTGTTTATTTGGTATTTGCAACAGCAATTATATTACATTGTACATAATGTAATAGAAGTTATATATTATAACTTTAAGTTAGAAGAAATTAACTTCTAGAGTCTCTTCTACAATTAAGTTCTTTCCATTTAGAGAAAAATAATGTCTGTATGATTGATAAGCACCAGTAATAACATTCATAGGTATGACCAGTAAAATTTCATGTCAGATTTTCACTGTTCTAAGTATTAACATTTAGAAAGTTGATTGAATTTTCTTTTTTAAAAAAAAAGGAAATAAAAAGTTATTCCATTTGCCAAGTTAGGGTAGGATAAAAGAGAAGTTAGCTACCCTATAAGTTAACTTCATAACAGGGATAAATCTTAGCACTAAAACTGACAATAAGGTAAGAAAGTATGCTTTCAATTTATGGTTCCTAAAAAAAATATCCAGAACAAAAATAAAAGGCTTACAGCCTCATTTATCACCACTGATTTAAAGTGAATCCTAACATGCCCATTTAATTGAAAGAGAAAACCAAATTACTTGCTAGTTTGCTTCTGTCTTCTCCTGCAACAACAACAATCCAATCCCTTTGGATTGTGATTGCAGTAGCAGTACTGGCCAAATTTGCAATATTTGCAATAGTGATGATCAGGATATAGCAGGAAGTCTAAAGAATGACAAGAAAAAATTGAGTTATAATGTCAGTTCACCACACTGTACATATGACATTAAACAATGTAGTTTAAAATGGTCTTTGGTGGGATAATTAAAAAAATTATTTTAATTTCATTTACAAGAAATAATTTTACTTCATACATATGAAACAATGAAAACGAGCAGTCAAGTTAAGGGGCATAATGTCCTAATCCATATCATCTTTATCATCTGTACTATACATAATACAAAAATTATGATAGTCATGTGAATAGTTATAAAATGTTAAGACAGTGGTGGTTTTGATCATTTCTCCCACAAATATTGCCTTCGAAAAGAATGTTGAAGGAGAATTGAGAACACCTGTATTTAAGTCAGAGTTCTGACACTTTCTAGTTGCATGACAATAAGCAATCAACTAACGTCACTTTGTCTTAATTTTTTCAACAAAATGAAAGGAATAGACTCAAAGATTTCTAAAGTCCTACCCGGCTTTGTAACTCTGTAATATCAATCCAAATATACATAAAAAGTTTCAATATGACACCAAAAGCATTGTTTCTACCACACCCCATCTCTCTCCTCTTTTCCATCAAGCTCTTATGAAATCACAATATGAAAAGCTATCTAGTTGACATTCCCAAACAGAAGTAACAATTATTATTGGAGGAACACAATCATATGAATAACGTTTCTTAGATAGCATGAACAAAGTATAGGTCACTAAAAAGCTGAAAACAAACAACTGAATTCTATAGTAAACTCTTAGAAATGCCATTAAAAACCAATAGGACAAAATTTAAATTCAAGCAATACTTAATAAGTGCCTGTTGTGGGCAAAACAACAACAAAACAAACTATAGGGGATTTGACAGTAGACACAGAAATCAATATTAAAAGGTCACATCTACCAAAAAAAAAAAAAGACACTCCCTAGCCTTCAAAGTATTTTCATTTTTTACTATTACCAGATATTCAATTTTCTGTCATGAAGAATCTCATTGAGAACTTACGAGAACCCATCCATGGTACATGGTAAGAAGCTCGTGTTTATGTAAGAAAACCATCATCAGGATGATACCACACAGGATGACTGAAACGTTCTGTACCACCAGCGAGGTCTGGGCCACTGTGCAGAGGATAAAACAAGTGTTCATTACATCAAAATGTGTCAGTGGGACTGTTCTTATCCTCACATCATTGTTCTACTGTATTAATGCACAACATAATAATTACAAGATAAAAGAAAACCTTTCTGAAGTCAATCCTGCCCCAACTACTCCCAATATGACCCAGAGGATCACACCAGACCAGTAAACATGCAAACAAAATGAAGTACAAGTTTTTCTGTTCACTGAAGTCTGTCATAATGACCACATTTTCATTTAGTTTATCTTCTTGAAAGCTGAACATAAACAGAGCTGTAGTATGATATAGATATGATCCATATTTCAGCTCTTTGTTGCTTCAGCTAAAACAAGAACATGTAGGAGGTTAAAGAGGAAGTTATGAAATCCACAACCTCCTATATGGCAGGCTGAATCTGATAATATGGTATAGATAAATAGGAAAGACACACAAAAATTTGCCAAGAACAAAGCAGCAGTGTATTTCTTTTGGTATACTAATGCTATTTGCCATTGCTACAAAATTCTAAGCTACCCCTTCCATCTCAGATGGCAATTCTCTTAACACGAGGCACCCATATAGATAAAGCACTGGAGTAAGGACAGATAAAGATACCTGGTAGCCTTTTTTCTGCCACTCAGTAGATAAATGATCTAGGGCAGGATACCTAATGTCTCTTATGCCTGCATCTAGAAGGTGAGGATGGTAATACCTGTCTTCCTTACTCTATAGAGTCATAATGATGCTCAAATAAAATACTTATAAAAGCACTTTGGAAAATATAAAGTTCTATATGTAAGGGATAATTATAGCTCTTGTCTTCAAGGATAATATAGTTCATCCTCGCTTGGAAGGTCATATCAAAGACCCAAGACAAAATAAACACTTTCTGAAAGCAGTCTGAAATAAAATCCCAACATATAATTCATTAATTCGTTCATCTGTTCATTCACTGGATAAGGATTAGATGTCAACTGAATAAGGTTCTGAGCTTTCAGGACCCTACAGAACAGAAAAAGAAAAGATATGTGAACAGATAATTGTATCTATATAAGTGCAACAGCAGAGGTGTTAACAAAGCCTCAGGGAAACACAGAGAAAGGAATGGCAAACTCAGTCTAGAGGTATCAGGAAAATATTTCATAAAGAGTAATATATGAGTCAATTATACAGGATAAGTGGGAAATTGTTATCCTACCCCACTTTTCTTCATCCAATTCAATATTCTTTCCTAATCTATGATTGCAGTGCTCAAAAATTATTAAAGGTTTCTGTGTATAATATTCCTGTGTTTCTACGTATAATGATGCAAATAAGTAAATTGTTTTCTAGGTTACAGAACTTTTTTCTATATGTGTTCTGGTCTACTCATTCTAAAAGCAGAAACGTGTTTATCTTGACTATTGTCCTAGTAGCATCACGTCCTGGAATTTGATAATCCTGTTGCTCTGTGTCTAGAAGCAGTCATCCTGCACTGAAAGAATGACACCTCAATTTTTTGCCATCATCTAAGTCAGATATGGTAAGGTCTTGGCATTGAGCAATTCAAGAAAATTTACCCAGAATGATTATCCATATTTCCCTTATATTCTAGATAATTTAGTTGCTCAATTACTTTCTTTCCCGTATAAAATGACACGATTTCAGTACTAATGCTTAGAATAAAGATCAATATATTATTATTTCTTCTTTTTCTCTACAAAATTTGTAATTCAGCTCTTTGTGATCCAGGCTCAACTGTTCTCCCTTGAATCTATAGTTTTCAATTCCCTTACATACACTCGTACATGAAGCATACTAACCAAAGAACAGATGTTACAGCTGTCTCTGGAACAGCACACTAAAGGGACTCCAGTGCAAGTCATAGTTAGAAAGGAAGCCCAAGTTAAGCAAACTTTTAATGTTTAACATGGTTCTCAGAAAAGTGCTACAAGGTTAATCATTAACATATAAAATGTATGAATAGCCAAAGAATAAAAAAAATATATTAGGTCAATGTCCAGGCATCCCAACTGTGTGTGGGATCCAAGGGACCCTCCATCCAGAGGTGGTGCCATCTAAGGCCTCCTCCCTCAGGTGTGGTGTGCAGACATTCCCTGGGTTGGTCATGGTTTTTGCTCTCTTAGTTTGTTGTTTCTTTTGTTAGGGAGGTAGCTCAGGCATTGCTCTCATGGATACAAGGGCTTAATTATATAACAACACTCACCTTTAAGTCTAGCATTCTTATCCACCCAGTCACCAATGATGGCTCCCAGGACCAGAACAGACCCTGCCACCACCAGCCCGTAGACTGCTGTCAAAAGGAGGCTGTTTCCATAGAGCTCTACCAGAAACACAGACACAGCAAAGTGCCACATCCGATCTCCCTTAAATAAGAAGAGAAAATGTTTTGATGGAATATTTTTTGTTTCTTGTCTATTGTACTCAGGAAGTTTGCTTCCTTATCAAAGGGGCACTTCCTGGCTACATTATGAGACTTTCAAAGTCAATAATTACTCTTAGATTGAATAACGATCAGGTGTTAAAACTGTTCATCCCAGCACAATAGAAAATATTCTTGCCCAAATATTAAGTAAACTTGAAAAGGCATGATATTAATGAACTGTACATTGTCTTTGTCATTCTAGAAAAAAAAAATGCCATTTCCAGACCCAAGATGGCTTTTTGAGATAAAACTTGTTCTGTGTGCCAGTTTTCTCCTGGGGCCTCGAATTTGCCTATCTTGATTGCAGAGGCATAAAGTCATTTGCTTTTGACCAGAAATCAATTACAGTATAATTCACAAACATTAATATACCTTAAACATCAAGAAAAAGCCAGTTTCCCAATTTGTAAAATGATAGGAATGGACTATATGATTTCTAAGTTTGCTCCACTCCTAATACACTAAACCCTATGAGATTTCATAAAGTCATAATTTGAAAGTCATAAAACAGCAGAGTGATCAGAAAGAGGAGAGCAACAAGGGTAAATTCTGGCACCACATAAACAGTGATGTCAGAAACAAATTTAAATGCATAAGCAAGTAGTTACATTAACATTTTAATACAGATGAGTTTTGAAAGGAGAAAAAAAGTACTTATTTCTTCACACAAACTCCAGAGAATACAGGGAATTTTGGAGTTCATTACATGAAATGTGATTTAACAGAAACTTTTAAGTAAATTAGGCAAATTAATGTCATCAAAAATCTATAATGGACCTTATTATGAGATTTTAGGCTCCATCCCTGACTTCTGAAATTAACATTAAGGAGGACAACCATATTCCATCATAACTTATCTCTGGGAATCACTATAGGAAACCAAATTCCAGGCCTCATAGATTTACACTATGGAAATACTTATACTCCTAGTTCTTCCCAAAGTCTGTTAACATCTTCATGAAATATCCATGTATTAGAAGCAAATACTATCCTGGCATGTCAAATGATTTTAAAAATTTAATGAGGCCAAGATAACAATTTTATACATTTGAAAATTGATGCGTGCTAGCAATCATTTAAAAGAAACTTAGTGTAGACCAGCAGTTCTCAACCAGAGATGACTTTGTTCTTCCTACCCTCACCCCACCTCCCTGGGGATCATTTGGCAATGTTTGGAGTAATTCTGAATTGTCACAACGGCAGTGGGGGTGGAACTGTTACTTAATCTTTAACCTGAAAAGCAAATTTAGATTTGATTAGAATAAAATGGGGTGGGGAGTGAGGAGGCACTTTATTCTACTCTCAAATCCTCTGAATAGCTCCCAAGGAAAAGACAAAAACACATAAATGTCCCAAATGATAGGCTGCCTCTGTGAATTTTCTTTCTTAACATACATGTTAAGAAACACTTTTCTAATACTGTTGCTTCTTTCTTTTTTTCTTCCTCTTGTTTTTTAAATTGTTTTAGAGTCCTCTAAAGCAGGCCATCAAAAGAAATGCTATTAAATTTTTGTCTCTTGCTTATTCTTGTGTGTCATACCACCTCTTTGATGGAGGGAAATAAATTGCTGCTATTACCCCAATTTCCAACAGGTTTAGGCTTTAAGAAGCAAGAGATTCTATGCTTACAAAAAGCCCAAGAATTGGGTAAAGTCTATGTAAATATTGACCAAGTACCCATTTCTTGCCTTCCCACCTATTCTTACCAAACTTGGATGACCTGTTTATGTGTCCATGTACCCCCACTGGACTGAGAGCTGAAGGCAAACCTAGTAACTGTCAATGAATGATCATGGTCCTTAATCCACTTAATAAATACTTACTGAGTGGCTACTACGTACTTAACACTTGCAGGCACTGGAGCTTCAGCAGCCCACAAAAATCACAGTCCATGTTTTCATCAAGCTCACATTCCGGTAAGCAGAGACCAAAAGCAAATCTAGCACAGGGCATGTGCTGCTATGAGGAAATATAAAGTAGGATGGAGCTGGTGGCGACAAAGGCCTCCATGGGCAAAGAAGTGAGGCCTGTCGGAAGCAAGGGCACAAGAAAGGCAGATATACTGTGGTTTAAATGGAGAGTCTATAAGATAATGATATAAGATATAAGCAACTGGCCCCTCCTTTTAAAGCTCATACTAAATTGTATTATAAGCTCCTTGACAATAGTATCCACTTCTTTTTTTTGTCTTTTGAGACAGCGTTTTGCTCTGTTGCGCAGGCTGGAGTATAGTGGTGTGATCACAGCTCACTGCAGCTTCAAACTCCTGGGTTCAAGCAATTCTTCCACCTCAGCCTCCAAGCAGCTGGGACTATAAGTGTGCCTCATGACACCCGGCTAATTTTTAAATTTTTTGCAGAGACAGAGCCTCCCTATGTTGCCCAGGCTGGTCTCAGACTCCTGGGCTTAAGCAACACTCTTGCCTCAGCCTTCCAAAGTGCTGGGATTATAAGCATGAGCCACTGCACCTAGCCAGGATCCACTTCTTAGACTACCTTGTATTTTGATAGTACAGAGTAAAATGCATTGATCCACTGGCAGATAAAAATGAAGTCAGAAATAAAAGGCATTCAACCTCACACAAAACTAACCTGAGGAACCCTCTACTCCAATGCCCCTATGCTCACTGCATAGGAATTCATGATTTGGCAGGGTGGGCAGGGAAATGCATACGCGCACACACACACACTACAGAAACATAAATATTTTTTTGTAATAAAATCAGGCAGAGTGCCACATAAGAGACAAAACACAAAAAATATAATTACCTAGTGTTAGAGACATTCCTCTTTTGCACTCCTTTGCAGTAGAAAGGAGTAAAAATCCACTAAACCTTATATGGTTGTAGTTGCTGCTGTTTACTTTCTCATGAGAACTTCCTTTGCTTGACTTACTGTAAAGTTGGGATAAGCATCTGTCACCTTTCTTGTGAGACTTTTAATTAACATGACAAAATATCCTCCTGGAACAACCACAGTGCCACTCGTTTTCTGGCAAATCTGACCTCCTAACCTATTAACCAAAGGTCACATAAACCATAATCAGTATTTGGAAGTGAGGCATCTTCTTCCTCTAAGAGCTAGGCCACACCACAGGCTGAGAATTTCAGATACTATTTCCATCGTCTGTTTTTAATACTTAATATTTATTGAATTAAGCTGGAGGAACAAACTATTGCTTTAGATTTATTAAGGGTTGTTTCTCTAGGTTTCTACTTAGCATCATCAGCTGTGGAATTAAAACAAACTCACACCAATTCCACTTTGTTTACATCTATTTGCAGAGTCATCTCTGCGAAAGCCGCTGGTAAGATAGGAGCTTGCATTTCTAAAATGTCATCTATAAACTGCTATTTCCTAGAGAGCCAATAATGTAGCTTAACAATTTCTCAAAGGCATTGGCTATAGATTTCCTCTTACAGTGGTTTCCATCCATGTCTTAAGGATGAGCCAATAGAAGTTTCCAATGTAAAAGGAAAATAACATTTAAAAAATTTACTCTCAAAATTTTATCTATTTACAGTTCTTTTTAGTTAAATATATATGAGGCATGAACAGAATATGGCCAGTTTTATTGCTTTTAAATAATAATTGTTTAATGTTAAAGATTCTAATCATTATTAAACATACATCTAGCATCATTCTAGGTTATTATTTTTGGGGGAGGATTTTAGGAGCCCAGACCTACAAAAACACTAGGTCTCTTCCAAGACTACCTGGAAAGTCAGAGGGAAAACTGTGAATCCATTACTGATATTCACTGGATGATAATTTTTAAGATAGCCTTGGATGCCCCAAACATTATCTAACTGTAGATAACATTTTTTAAAGACCAGAATTTTTGTCACTCAGATATTTGTTCTGGGGAGTCATTTATGTTTCAATTAATCTTAGAATGCTATTATTAGCCTAAGTCAGTCACTCCACCTATTGTATTCTCATGGTGCTACACGCTGGAACTAAATTTAACAAAAAAAGAAAACAAAATATTTTAAAATGTGAAGAGAAGGTATATGACACATCCATCCATTTTATGTAGCAGATATGTCTATTTACTAAAGCTACTAATGCAACATACAATTTAAAAACAAAGGAAATATTCCTTTCTTTGTTAACCTTGTCTGGATAGTTGTCTATCTATATAAACTATGATGATCTGATAATTTAGTTGCATTAACTAACACTCATGGGGAAATAACATCAGTGTAAATAACGTTTTCATTAAAGCATGTGAACTTGGATGATTTATTTCTTTAACTGCTTGGCAAAACTGGTAGTTGGCTTAATACAAATGGCTGGAACGAAAGGAAATAAAACGTTGCGCAACTGTGTTGTAAGAATGTGCATTCTCACTTACCCAAGTGGAGAGAGAATGACCAAGGTAGAGAAGGAATTTTGCAGAGGTCAGGTAGTCGGCCAAGGATCCTGCAAAGACACCAGCGGGGAGATAAAAAGCGGTCGTAGTCACTTAATGAGCTGAGGGCAGAATGCTTATCCCTTTGATCTTATTAGAACATGATTATTAAACACTGCATTGCGGGACACATCACGTACGTTTTATCAAGTTACCTATGAACCGAGGTATTTGTTCACTTAATACCATTCACTTAAATTCAGCACGACCTAGTTCATAACTGCCCAACTTCACATTTCACATACAGTGAAGAAACTTGTTTCAACATTTTTTTTTACACAAGGCAATCCAAACTGCCCAGCCTACTCCAACCGTGCCTATGTGCAAGCCCCTTTTCCCACACCCTGAATTTCATTTCTTCCTTAACGTCCACAAATATGAATCAAAGGATCTTTTACAAAGCTATGCTTAACAGCAGAGCCATATTCCTGCAGAACCTGTGTAGAGCTGCTTGTCTCCAAAGCCCAGCCTGGGTTTCTACCACTTGCATTCGGTCAAAGCCACTCACCACAGCATCCTCTCTGGCGGTTGTGTTCTCCTGCCCTGGTCATGACACTGGGCGACCCCGCTGGCTCTTCGGCGGCTGCTCTCGCTGCTGCTCTCGCTGAGGTGCTTGTTAACAGGAGTGCAAGGAGCTGGAGATAACACCTCTAAAAACACAACAGACTTGGGCAAAAAGACTACAACGACTTTGGCAAACCACAAAAGAAAAGGGGCCCGGGGATTTTCCTTTTTCCTTCTTTCCAAACTTAGCTAACACTGTAGCTGAAGTTGGAAAGGCAAAGCCTTATGGAAGCGGGTTGGGAGGCGCAGCAGGCCGTCCGAACCTAGCGGACGCCCCAGCCAGCTCTCGCCGCCGCCGCCGCCGCCGCGGTGGGCCGGGCCCAGCTCTTATACCGAGGCGGGGGCGGAGCTCCCTGCGCCGCCGACTGGGGCCGCCCCGTCCCCTTCAGAGCCGCCCGGGCGTCCCCGCGGCGCGAGGCGGGCTCCCGTCAACCCTGCGCACCGGGCCATCTCCACGCCCTTCCCGGGAGGAGTCGCCCGCCTGGGGCGCAAGTGTCCAACCCGCCGCAGACACCCTGCGCGGGCTGCGGGGACCTTCGCCTCGACCCATTCCGCTCGCCGCGTTTTCCCTCCCTCCGGGGGGCGGCGGTGGGGCTGGGAAGGGGAGAAGGCGCGTGGGGCCAGCGGGGCGGTGTCGGGAGGTTCTGCGCGAAACCAGGCGGCAGGTGCTGGAAGAAAGCGCTGCGCACCGGCTCCCTGGCGGTTCAGGGAAAGGGCGGCCGCCGGACGGTCGTTGTGCCAAGCTCCAGTACGAGCTTGGAGGATGGTGATTCCTTTTTTAATGAAAATAATTTTTTAATACAAGTATCTAAATAAATATAATTCATGCCACAGAGGCCACTTTCCTGGCCTTCCCATTCCGGACCGCCTGCGGCAGAGAATGTCTTTCCTTCCCCGGACTGCATAGCAGCGCTTCCCTCAAAGAACCAGAATCAAAGGGCAGGAAGGGAGCGCAAAGATCAGAGTCCAGCCCTCTTCAGAGGAGCAGACGGAGGCTTGCAAAAGTGAAGTCCCGCAGCGAGTTACAGACCTACCCCTGTCCCCAAACTGGGTCCTCCAAATCCGTCCTGGAGACACAAGGAGGACGCTGCAGCCCTAACAAGCCCTTCACCATCATTCCCTCTCCTTCTGTACCCTCTCACCCCGCCCCCACGCGCGCGTCCCTTCCCACCTAACCTCCAAATGCCCCAGTGGTAGGCTTACCAGGAATACCGGTTATCCCAGTTGTATCTCTGGATCTGTCCCTGTCCAGATAAAGCCATTCGGTGGCCTCCTGCAGGGGGAGGTGAATGACTCTAAAGAACACCAGACTCTAGCCTTGGTTGACTTCGTTTCTCTCCTGCTGTGCGAAACCCCTGGGGCATACTAGCCCCTTTGGCCAGCCGGTTACCTTATCCTTCTCAATCTCACCAAAATCGCGGGAGTGGATGCTACATATTGAACCTCCAACCTCCACAGCTTGAGCTCAAGGCACAGTGACAACCAGTAGTGAAGGGAGCCACGCATATGTGCCCTGTATCTGCACTCTCAATCAGGAGCCCCAAAGGTCTACGGGTGGGTGCAGCTGGATGCCGGTCGGGATGTGGTCTGGAGGGTAGAGATAGGGGCTTTACAGTTTTAACTACCGCCCTTAACTACCTTCCCCCCCCCCCCTTTTTCAAGCCCTCTTTTTGCCTTTCTTTCACAGGACATTCAAGTTCTTTCTCCCAATTTAGAGAGGTTTTGGTTTGCTGATGCTGGAGAATAGGGTCATTTATCCATGCATCCTTGAGAATAAGCCAAAGTATACTCAGATGAGTGAACTAAAGTGAAGGAGTGAAGTGGTAAATAAACTCCTCCACTTTATGTGGATCCCTTATTAGAGATGAATTTTTTGATAGGTCCTCAAGCAAGGAACAAAGGATAATGATAGTTTGCACATTTGCCACAGCGTGTCTCAGCAACAAGGACCTCTAAGTGCTTTACATTATTACATGTTATAAGAAGGTGTGTCATGCTGTCCCCAGCTTCCCGGTGGCTTTTTAAAAGTTAGGTTGGTTAAAACAAAATTACTTCCCGTAGACACTGTTTGAGAAGTATTTGTGGAAAGAGTAGCTAAGTCAGTGTTACCTCAAAATGTAATATGGAGTCTCTGTTCTCCATTGTCACCAAGGAGTCCCCAGAATCCAAAACCGAGAGAATGTTATAAAGAACAGATGGGAGACGGCAGTGAAACAAGTAGGAAAGATACTTTGGAAAGAAAACAAGCAAGGTTCATGACATTAAAATCAGTGAATGAACTATGGAAGGGGAATCTTAAATACTAATTAATGAGAATAGTCGAGATACGTTAGTTGGGGCTTATGAAAACGAAAGGAATTGAAAATGAAAATAGAATAAAAATCCTCAAACTATTCAGAAAGTGCAAAATGACAGAAATCTTTTGGCCTTGACATTCTAGATTACAAAGTACCACTTTAATCACAAGACCCCACCGGCTCTTCCTCCTTCTGAGAAAACATTTGACCATTTGAAAATTAAGATTTCTTCCAAAAGTCATATACATGTTTTTGAGAACACAGAATATACAACTTTCCCATCAATGTAATCATAACTAAGAAAGTCATACAAGTTTTAAGTCAGCTTACAAAAAATAATAGATGCCCTAAAGATCATTTTCCAATAAATTTTCAACATTTTTTTAAAGTTTGTAACTAGGTTAACCAACTTTTTAAAAATTCCAGCCAGAATAAAATGTATGTGGCTATTTAAAATTCATTAAAAGTCTTTATGGTTGGGAAATAAAAGTGGTTTTATCATTTCATTTTTATGCTGCCTTTTCACTTACCGGTCAGGCATCCTCAGTTTCCTCTGCCATATCAGATGTGCTCACCAGGACAAAGGCAGAATAAAGAATGGTCACTATTCCACTGCTCTGAAGAAACAAGTAATAGGGTTATCACCAGCTATTACAGGAAGGGCTTCAATCCAGGACAGTGCTTCTGTTGGATGTGAACGTTTTTATGTTAACTTAGGAGCTATAAAGCCATGTTTCCATTCAAAAATCTTTCTCAGTGTTCCACATAATTTTCAAGAACTGATTTATATTTCTATAATCTATGACTGAATGGACTCTTGAGAAGTTTAAGTCCAACATCTACTTTAAATTACAGTCATCCTATTGAAAGATAAATATCCTCCCAGGCCTATCATTTTGTTTGAATATTTCAAATAGATTTGACCTTGAGAAGTTTCTTAGGAACGCTGGCTTTCATTGGTAGTGCTCTCTTGCCTCCTCTCTCTCTTTCTCTGTCTCTCTCTCTCTCACACACANGCGGAGGTTGCGGTGAGCCGAGATCGCGCCATTGCACTCCAGCCTGGGTACCATGAGTGAAACTCCGTCTCAAAAAAAAAAAAAAAGAAAATGGTCTATATTTGTGCTGCATTTCATATAAATGGAATCATATAATAGATGGCCATTTGTGGAAGGCTTTTTTCACTTAGTATAATGTTTTCAAAGTTCATCTATTTTGTAGCACCGATTGGTACAGCATTTGTTTTTGTGGTTGAATTAGATTCCATTGTTTGCATATATACCATGTTTTGTTCATCTAGTCACCAGCTGATGGGCAGTTGAGTTGCTTTCACCTTTGGTTATTGTGAATAATGCTGCTAGAAACATTCCCATACACATTTTTGTGAAGACACATGTTTTCACTTTTGTTGGATATATACCTACCAGTTGAATTGCATGCCATATGGCAACTCTATGTTTAATTTTTGAGGTACTGCCCAGAGTGGTTTTCAAAGTGGCTACATCATTTTGCATCCCCACCAGTAGTATGTAAGGGTTCTATTCTCCACATCCTTACCAACACTTGTTATTGTGTCACATTTTGATTCTAGTGGCCATTCTCATAAGCTATTCTTGTCCATATGAAGTGGTACATCATTGTTTTTTGATGTGAATTTCCCTGATGAATAATTATGTTGAATATCTTTATATGTGCTTATTGGTCATTTACAGATCTTCTTTGGAAAAGTGGCTGTTCAGATCTTTTACATTAGGTTATTAATATTTTAAAAAATTGAGTTATAATCATTCTTTATATATGCCAGATACAAATACCTTATGAGAGGTATGATTTACAAATATTTTGTCACAATTACTGTCTGGGTCATTTAATTTCAGCCTGAAGAACTCCCTTTATTATTTCTTATATAGCAAGTCTGATAACAGTAAATATTTTCAGTTTTGTTTCTTAGGGAAGGTCTGTCTGTATTTTGCCTTTATTTTTGAAAGACAGCTTTGCTGGGTGTAGGATTCATGGTGGATCTTTTTTTTCTTTCAGTACTTTGAATATGTTATAACACTGTCTTATGTTTTCCACTATTGCTGCTGAAAAGTAAGCTCTTACTATCACTAAGCTTCCCTAAGTCACTAAGTGACAAGTCATCTTTCTCTTGAAACCTTGAGGATTGTCTCTTTATCATCTTTGACTTTCACTATTTTTATCATGATGTGTCTTTTTGTGGATCTCTTTGCATTATTCCTCCTTAGAATTATTAAGCTTCCTGGTTGTACAGATTGCTTTTCAATAAATAAATTTGTTCAGTGTTCAGCCTTGCTCTTCTTTTCTTTTCTTTCTTTGCCTTTCCTTTTTCCTTTTCCCCTTCCCTCTCCTCCCCTGCCCTCCACTTCCCTTCCTCCCTCCCCTCTCCTCCCCTCCCCTTCCCTTTCCTTTCCTTCCCTTTCTTTTTTGAGACAGTCTCAATCTATCCTCCAGGCTAGAGTACAGTTGGTGCAATCTTGGCTCACTGCAACCTCAGCCTCCTGGGTTCAAGCGATTCTTGTGCCTTGACCTCCCAAGCAGCTGGAATTACAAACATGTGCCACCATGACCAGTTAGTTTTAGTATTTTTAGTAGAGATGGGGTTTCACGGGGTTGGCCAGGCTGGTCTTGAACTCCTGGCCTCAATCTGCCCACCTCAGCCTCCCAAAATGCTGGGATTACAAGCATGAGCCACCATGCCCAGCTTCAGCCCTTGTTTCTTTGAATATTTTTTTCTACTTTACTTCTCTTTCTAGTACCTCCATTACACATGTCATTGTCCTATGGTTTTCACATTTCTCTGAGACTCTGTTCATTTTTCTTGATTTACTTTTCTTTCTGTTTTTTAGATTGTAGAATCTCTATTGATCAATGCTCAAGTTTGTAAATTCTTTCTTCCACCAGTTGAAATCTACTGTTGAGCCCCTATATGATTTTTTCATGTAAATTATACTTCATTGGTTATTCCATTATTTTCACTGGGTTCTCTTTTATTATTGATATTTCTGTTTTGTTTTGTTTTTGTTTTTGTTTTTTTC